CTCATCCTCCTCCTCTCTCCTCCTCCTCCTCCTCCTCCTCCTCCTCCTCCTCCCCCTCCTCCTCCTCGGGCGTCGGACCTCGAACCTCCTCCCTCCAGCCAGCAAACAAAACTACTCGACGCAGAGATCCCAGCACGTGCACCTCATACGCCTGTCATATCTCAATGAAAAAGTCTTTCTGTGGGCACCTGGGTGTGAGAGCGAGTCCGCATACACGACGAGCGCGACGACGACGACGACGACGACGACGACGACGACGACGACGACAGCGGCGACTTCAGTGACGTCCTCCTCCTACTACTCCTCTTCATCCTCCTCTCATCCTCCTCCTCCTACTCATCATCCTCCTCTGGACGTTTTTCAATAGGAATGAAGGAAGCACCTGTGAAGAGCTAGGTATCATTGAACATTCAACATAGCGGTGAGTGGATCTGAGCTTGAGTGATCTGAGTGCGAGTGTAAGCGAGTCCGAGCGTGAAACAGCCCATGAATGATCGAGTTTGAGTATGAGTGAGACTACGTGAGAATTTGATACGGGTGCGAGAACGTATGAGCGAGTCTAAGTACGAGTGAGTCTGAGTGTGGGTGAGTCTGCGTGTGTGTCTGGTTGAGCAAGAGTGAGTCGAGTGTGCATTCTAAGAGTCTGAGTCTGAGTATGCGTGAGTCTGAGTGTGATTGCGTCTGGGCGTGGTTGAGTCTGAATGCGAGGGGGGACACAACCTGGGCGCGAACGGACCCGTGCCATACCTCCTGGCGGCTCCCCCTTGGGGTGCTGAAACCAGCGCCTCGCCTGAGACATCCTCACACTCTGCTCCGAAAGCAGAGGATGTTGGCCACCGAAACAAGCAGACCACCTGAGACAGCCCCACAATGTGGGCGCAAACGGGCCAGTGCAATACCCCCTGGCGGCGCCCCATTGGCAGTGTTGAAACCAAACATCTTCCTTCCCTGGGCGCGAAAGAGGGTCTGAGTGTGAGTGGATCTGAGTGTGGGCGAGTGTGAGTGAGTAGAAGTGCTTGTGTGCGAGAGCCTGATTGTGAGTGGGTCTGAGTGCGAGAAATTCTGAGTGTGAGTGGGTATGAGCATGAGTGGGTATGATTGCGAGTGGGTCTGAGTGTGAGTGAGTGCGAGTAGAAGTGAACCTGGGTATGAGTGAATCTGGGTGAGTATGAATGAGTTCACATGTGAGTGAGCAGCCTGAGTGTGAGTGAGCCTGGATGTAACCAGTGAAGCTGAGGAATATGAGGAGGATGGACAAGGAGCCCACGCAGTCTGAGTAATGATTCAATGCGTAAAGCTCCCCATATGTGCATATATGAGTATGGACCTGTCCTCCGTGAGTATCTAGGCGCAAGAGCTTTCGAATATAAACGGACTTGGGTATTGACGGTCGGGGAGCGAATATAACTGTGAACGACTTGGAGTGTGAACGTGTCTGTAGTACGAGCGCGTCTCTGCGCATGAGCCTGGGGCCTCCTGAAACCTCCTGGGGCTTCCTGGGGCCTTGTGGAGCCTCTTGGGGCCTCCTGGGGCCTCCTGAGGCTTCCTGCGGCCTCCTGAGGCCTCCTGGTGCCTCCTGGGGCATCGTGTGGCCTCCTGGGGCCTCCTAGAGCCTCCTGGACCCTCCGAGGCCTCCTGGGAGGATTCGTGCCACAGGAGAGGCCCAATATATAGGAACAGACAAACATTAAACACTGAGGAGTGGAGCCACAAGAAAAAGAGCATTCGATAGGAACACACGGGAAACATTAAGGACTCGTGCCCCAGGGGAGGCCCAATATGTAGGAACACACGTACAACACTTAGGGTTGGAGCCACTCCTGAGGCCTTCTGAGGCACCCTGCTCCTGGGGTCTCCTGGTGCCTCCTGGTGATTCTTGTGGCCGCCTGGCGCTTCCTGTGGCCTCCTGGGGCCGCCTGCTGCCTCCGGCTGCCTCCTGGGGCATCATGGAGCCTCCTGATGCCTCCTGGAGCTTCCCAAGGGGCCTCCTGGAGCCTCTTGGGGCATCCTGTGGCCTCGTGAGCCTTCCTGTGGTCCCCTGATACCTCCTGGGACCTCGTGTGGCCTCCGGGGGCCTCCTGGAGCCTGCTGGAGCCTCCTGTGGCATCCTGGGGAGGATATGTGCCCACGACTCTGGCCACCAAAACAAGCCAACCGATCGAGACTTCCTCAAAATCTGGCCCCCCTGTGGTGGCGAAAATCACCGCCTCGCTCGATACATCCTCAAAATCTGCTCCGAAAGCGGATGATGTTGGGCCACAAAACAAGCAAACCGCTCGCGACATCCCCGCAAGTTTAGCGCGAATGGCGGAGTGCAATACCCCCTGGCAGCTCCCCTTTGGGGGTGCTGAAACCCGCGCCTCGCTCGAGACATCCTCAGAATTTGCTCCGCCATCATCATCATCATCATCATCATCATCATCATCATCATCATCATCATCATCATCATCATCATCATCATCATCATCATCATCATCATCATCATCGTCGTCGTCGTCGTCGTCGTCGTCGTCGTCGTCGTCGTCGTCGTCGTCGTCGTCGTCGTCGTCGTCGTCGTCGTCGTCGTCGTCGTCGTCGTCGTCGTCGTCGTCGTCGTCGTCGTCGTCGTCGTCGTCGTCGTCGTCGTCGTCGTCGTCGTCGTCGTCGTCGTCGTCGTCATCGTCATCGTCATCATCATCAGCATCATCATCAGCAGCAGCAGCATCAGCATCATCATCATCATCACCATCATCAGAATCAGCAGCAGCAGCAACAGCAGCATCATCATCAACATCACCACCACAGCCAACATCATCACCACCACCACCACCACCATCACATTAAAACATGGAATCGCAAATCACATCATCACATAGCATAGAATTAACATGACATCGCATGGATTAACTGATCATGTCATACTATAACATAGCATGCCATATCATAACAGAAAACAGCATGTCGTAACGGACCATAACATAACATAGCATGAACTATCACAACATAACATGACATACCGTACCATACCGTAACATAACATGGACAACCATATCATAACATACCATAGCATTGCATGAGCCAGGGAAGAGAGTGGTGTGTGTGACAGGAAGTTGGCGCGGTCGGAGTACGAACAGGAAGCTCATCATTTGGATATGGGAAATAAGAACCCATCATTTGAATATGTGCTATACCACTACATAGCACAGCGTGACATATCATATCATAGCCTACCACAGCATATCACATCACGCTATACCAAAACGCAACATAACATTGCATACCATAGCAGCAAAATAACAGACCGCAGCATAACATAACCTAACCCAGCATGCTATAACATACCATAATTTCTCCAACGGTAAAACCATATGAGACGATATGTAGACTGCACCTCGCCCGTTCGTATTCGATTGGCGGGGGCCGTCCTTCCGCCTTATGTGTCTTCCTCCTCCTCAGTGTCGTCGTTCTCCTCCTCGTGGTTCCTTCTCGTTCTACTCGTTGCAAGTCTTATCATATTCCTCCGCCGCCGTCTCCTCCTCCGCTTCCTGTCCTCCTCCCCCGCCTGCTCCTCGTCCTACCTCTCATCCTCATGTTCCTCCTCCGCATCGTCCTGTTCCCTCTCTTCCTCCCCCTCATCCTTCTTCTCCCCCTCCTCATCTCCACCCCGCTTGCTCTCCTCCTCGTGCACATCCCCGTACTCCTGGCAGGGGCGCGCATGTAGTGTTTCCTCGGCGGCCTCGCCGCCACGCCCGACAAGGGCGCGTTCCCCGATGGCGAAAGCGCGAAGCCGTCGGGGGCAACCCAGCGGGCCAGCCGCCTGAGACTTCCTCACAATGCACTCACAGACGAGGCTCCCGCTTGATACTTCCTCCGCACTCAAGCGTGAAGAGGCAAGGGTGACGACAAATACCAGATTCCGACGACCCGCTCTGATTAATAGCATGAACTGCTGGCTCCACAGGGGGGGGGTCCCGCCTGAAACTTCCTCACAATTCACTCACAGACGAGGCTCCCGCCTGAGACGTCCTCCAAGAGGCCGACAGCGACGACAGTTACAATAAAGTGATCTGCGGGCTCCATCGGGATGGGGCTCCCGCCTGAGACTTCCGCGCAATTCACTCACAGACTTGGCTGCCGCCTCGAACTTCCCCCATATGCATGCCTCAGGAGCCCAAAAGTGATGACACATACAAGGTTTCGATGACCCGATCGGGTTAATAACATGAGCTGCGGGCCCCATAGGGAGGGGACTCCCGCCTGAGACTCCCTCGCAATTCACTCACAAACGAGGCTCCCGCTTGATACGTCCTCCGTGTTCAAGCCTGAGGAGCCCAAAAATGACGACAGGTACAAGGTTCCGATGACCCGCTCGGATTAATAACATGATCTGCGGGCCCGATAGGGAGGGGGATCCCGCCTGAGACCTCCTCACAATTCAGCTTGATGTTCCTCCGCATGTAAGCCTGAAGAACCCAAGCATGACGACAGATACGGGGTTCCGATGACCCGCTCGGATGAATAACGCGAGCTGCGGCTCCCACAGGGAGGGGGCTCCCGCCTGAGACTTCCTCGCAATTCATTCACAGACAAGGCATGAGTGAATGAGGGGGATCGAGGGAGTGTGAGTGAGTGTAAGCGATGATTATCTGGTGGTCGTGGTGATGATGACGACGATGATGATGATGCAAGTGTAAGTGAGTGAGAGACAAAGAGAGGGGGGAGGGGTTCCTGCGCGGGGACTGTACAGAGAACACAAGACACCCACTTGGGATGCGGGGAACAAACTATATCATGAGAAGGAAGGGGAGGAAGGAGGGGTGAAGGAGTTGGCGCGGTCTGAGTAGCAACAAGAACGTCATCCTTTGGAAATCGGGAATAACAAGAACTCATATTGGATCATAGGGAAACTCACACACACACACACACACACACACACACACACACCAACACCACACACACACACAAACAATGGCAGCGCGCATCCCGCATGAGGGGAGGGGGGGCGAGGGGCGGGCGGCCGCCTGCGCCGCTCCCGCCGCCGCTCGGAGGACCTCCTCCGAGAGCGCTCGTACAGCCCCTCCTGCTCGGCGGCGATGGCGCGCACCTCTGCCGCGGCGGCCGCCGCGGCAGAGGCGAGGAGGAGGAGGAGGAGGAGGAGGAGGGGGAGGGGGAATGGCGGAAGCAAAAAGGACCTGGAGGGGGGGGGGAGACAAAAAGGATGGAGCAGGATGAAAAGGAGGAGGAAGCAGGAGTGATGGAGGGATGGAAGGAGTGAGGGAGAGAAGGGGCGGAGGAGGCCAATGTCCCCGTCTCGTCGTCGTCATCGCAATCGGTTTGCTCCTGATACTTTCCTCATGGTCCTCCCCTCCTCCTCCTCCTCCTCCGAGCGGCCCTCCTCCTTCTCCTTATCCTCCTCATCACTTCCCCTCCTCCTTGTCCTCATCCCCGCCATCTCATTCCTCCTCCACATCCTCCTTTTCCTCCTCCGCCTCTGTCCTTCTCATCATTCCCCTCCTCTCCCTCACTCCTCCTCCTCCTCATCCTCCTCCCCCTCCTCCTCCTCCTCCCCTCCGCCTCCCTCCTCCTCCTCCTCGTCCTCCTCCTCCTCCGCCTCCTCCTCGTCCTCCTCCTCTTCCTCGTCCTCCTCCTTATTACCATCACCAGCATCATCAACCTCATCCTGATTCATCATCCTCTCCATCCCCCTCTTCACCCTCATCGTTCTCCTGCCCCTCCACCTCCCCGACCTCCTCTTCCTCATCGTCCTCCTCTCCCTGTCCATATTATCATCCTCCATCTCTAGCGGTGAGGGCGACGACGACGACGCTGCCGACGACGACAACGACGGCGACGACGACGACGAGGACGACGATGACGAGGACGACGACGACGACAGACGACCGACGACCGAAGACCGACGACCGACGACCGACGACTGACGACCCACGACCGACGACGAAAATGAAGACGACGACCACGACCACGAGCACGTCCTCTGAACGTCTCCAGAAATTTAATCGGGTCTCTGGAGGTCGCCAAAGGTCTCGAACGTTTGCCGGAGGCCTCCTAGAGGCCACTGGAAGCCCAAATCCACTGACACCAAAGAACTTGATCGGAACCGTCAATCCTCGATGCCCGTCGCTCGATTATCAATCTTCGAACGACGACGACGACGACGACGACGACGACGACGACGACGAGGCCAACGACGACGACAACGTCGACAACGACGCCTGCGAGCAATCCGCTGGGATGTTCGTTGCGGCCGCCGCTGGATGAACAGGACAGGAGGAGGAGGGAGGAGAGAAAGGAGAGCGATGCTGAGGAAGAAGGAGCACATAGGAGAAGGAAGGGAGAGCAATAAGGAGGAGAGAGGAGGAGAGGAAGTAGAAGAAGATTATATGTAAAAAAAGGTATGGAGAGGAGGAGGAAAGAAGGAGGGGAGGAAAAAGGAGGCCGTAGCCATTTTGGCTCAAGCCGCCCACCAGCGGGCGAACCCCATTTTCGCGCGAGCTTGGCATGGCCCTTGTGCGACTGGAGGTTTTCTGCAGTGGAGTTTGGGACAATTGCTCAACGGGATGACATGGGTGATGCATGCCAAATGCCCCGCCCTACGACCGCTGAACGGCGAGCGCGGCGGGAGTGGGCCAAGGAGAGCGCGGACAGGGCGATCAGGAAGCTGTCGTACGAGCTGCAGGGCTCCCGTTCCCAGGTCAAAGAGATGCAGTCGTCGCTCTCGGAATTCTTCGGCAACGGCGAGCTCTGGGACAGGCTCCTTGCGATTGTCCCGGCCTTGTCCGCCCTTCTGGCCGAGCAGGCCCCAGAGCATCTGGATGTGCTCAGGCGGAACGTAGCCCTACATGCTACTGGAGGCTGTGGTTCTAACTTTTCCTCGGCATCGGCTGAACAACTGCAAGGTGCACAGCGTGGACCGCGTCTTATCCGAGTGATACCTTCGCAATTGAATCCAGATGCTTCTGCATGTGCTCCTGGTTGCGGGCTCGGGGAAGCAGCAGAGGGCGAGAAGCAATGCGACCTTGTATGCTCAGTTTCTGTTCCTGGTGCCTGGGAAAACCTGGATGGACCTGCAGAGACCGCGAAGTTCCGCGATATCCCCGTTAAGGTACCAGATGGAGTCAGCAGCAGTCCCTTATGATATAGTTCGTGGCCCGCCCAGTCCTCTTCGACATGGCGCAGAGCACAAAGGAACCACAAACTCCGAAGCCGAGGGCCATAAAGGGGTGCAGGCTCCTGCGGATCTACCTCCTGCCGGTAATGGTCCGTTTGCGGGTGTTGGTGGCACGGCTGCTTTTCAAACAATGGCGAACAGAGCTGATGGTCCAGAAGTGATCTGCAATATTGCACAAGATGACGATCAGCAGGAGTGTGTTCAAAATATTGGAGTTCTCGGTAGAGGAGCTTCTGGCGCAGAACACGCCAGTGATCGTGACCATGGCGACCACGTCTGTAAGGCTCTTGACGATCATCGTAGCCATGGCAAGGATGATGCTAGTGACAACGAACTCGATCGTGACGCAGCGCAACTCGTTCCTCCAGACCTCCGTCTGGGTCGCCAGTCTGCCGCGCGCTTTCAGCGCTTCGGGAGCCAGAAGCAGCATGAGCAGAAGCAAGACCACGGATCCAGGATGAGTGTAATGCATGTGTCATAGTACGCAGGTTTGGAGGGATAATGCCGAGTAGCTGCAGTGAGTGTACCAGAGTGTAGCTTTGGCCCTTCTTGGTCCCGATCGTAGGATATGCGATCCCGATCGGTGATCATTCTCTCTCTCTCTCTCCCTCTGTGTCGGCTAGAGCGGAGATCTCCTATCAGGCCAGCTCGCTTGCACCCTTTCAGTGTTGGAAGTGTGGAAGGGCAGGAAAAAGGATAAGGAATGGAGGAGAAGGAACAAGGAGGAGGAGGAGGAGGAGGAGGAAAGGAGGACAAGGACGAGGGGATAAGATGAGGAAACGAGGAGGAAAATGACAGGAGGGCCCAAATCTGAAAATCAAGGCTATGGGCGAGCACAGGCAGACACAGCAATGTACACGAAGCACGTGCCAGGATTGAGCTGACGGAGCACTGCGACTTTGTCAAAACCGTAAGGCGTAAGGGTAGGGAAAAGAGGAGGAGTTGGACGAGAAGAAGGAGGGACGGGGAAAACGACGGAGGAAAAATGGGAACCAGATCGACGACGACGACGACGACGACGACGACAACAAAAACGACGACAACGACAACGACGACGGAGGACGACGACGACGACGACGACGACGACGACGACGACGACAAGGACGGGCGGCCCCTTCTCGGCCTGGGCCGCGTGGTCGGCGAAGGCGGCGCAGATCCTCGCGGGGCGCGCTAGGCAAGGTCCTTCCATCCTCCTCCTCCTCCTCGTCCTCCTCCTCCTCCTCCTCACCCTCCTCCTCCTCCTCCTCTTCCTCCTCCTCCTCCTCTTCCTCCTCGTTTCTTCCCACTCCTCCTCCTCTTCCTCATCCTCCTCCTCCTCCTCCTCCTCCTCCTCCTCCTCACCCTCCTCCTCCTCCTCCTCTTCCTCCTCCTCCTCCTCTTCCTCCTCGTTTCTTCCCACTCCTCCTCCTCTTCCTCCTCCTCCTCCTCCTCCTCCTCATCCTCCGCCTCCTCTTCCTCCTCCTCCTGTCCCCCCTCCCCCTCCCCCTCCCTCTCCCCCTCCCCTCCATGCTCCAGTTCGTCGATGGCTCCTTCTTGGCCCAGGCGGAGGAGTCCGAGCTAGCGGTGGCGTCGGAGACCCTTTCCGCCTGGTGCGTGCGTTGGCGCCACCGCTTCCAAGGCGGGACGAGCAAGGGACCAGCGGTCATGGCGGTGGCCGGGGCGGAGCCTGATGGCGTTGCCTGCGGGGCCATCGCGGGGGAGGGGTTCCGGTCGGTGGGCTCTTTGGACGTCCTGTGCGTGCCCATTGACGCCGACCTTGGCCTGCGCCCCCTCCTAGACCAAACGTGCGCCAAACTGCTGGCCGGCGCTCGCCGCCTCGTTACGGCCATGGCGGACAATTGTCTTGAGGCCCCGCTGCAGCTCTCGCAGGTCCCAGCCAGGGTCGAGTCGACGGCCTTGTACGGGGCTGAGCTCCTCGCGTCATGCGGGGCAGGCTGGGCCGCGGTCCTCAACAGGGCCAACGGGGCGTACTACGAGGTGGCCAAATTCTGCTGGCGGAGGCCACGCGGCCGTGGTCGCTGGGCCCAGGTGGGCATATCTGCGTTTTCCTGGAGGCGCGTCTCCTCACGCGTCTGGGCACCAAGCTGACCACGCGGGCGATTAGGGCCCAGGCAGGATGCTCCTCCTGCCCCCTGCTCCTCCTGCCCTCCCCTCCTGCCAGGATCTCGGAAGTGCCGATCGCGGCGGAGGCGACCCGCAGCGCTTGCACCTGGCTGAGCGATGCGTAAGAGGTCGCGCGCTGCGCGGGGGTTACCGAGTGGCCGGTCCTGGAGCCCGAGGCTACCCCTGCGCGGCGGTGGTGGCTCGTGCGCTCCTGGGCAGCGCAGGTGCTGGACCCCCTCTTGGACGCGGCGGAGGCGCGCTGGTTCACGGAGCAGGTCGGGCGGCTGGCAGACACCGGTTCGCAGCCGTTGAGCGCGCCCCCCCGCTGCAACAGCCCTGGGCGCCCGCGGTCTGCTGGGCGCCGTGGAGCCCGACCATGTGGAAATACCACGAGGCGTGGACGGTGGCGCGCCTGTCGGGGGCCATCGCCATCCCGGGGGTCGCCTGGCGCGGAGGCGCAGGCTGGGCCTGTCGACGAGCGCGGGCGAGGTCGCCCTCGCCAGCGGCACCCTCGAGTGGGCCCTCCTGGGCACAGCGGACGCGGCGGAGCTCGCGCTGAAGGCGGACGTCGTGGGACGGGCCGCGGGCGCCCGCGGGCCTGCGCGCGGGGCGCAGGAAAAAGCCGCCGCGCGTCCGCCCCCGCGGGCCCGCGAGGCCGCCGACCCATGCCCTCGCCCCTCCCACTTCCTGCCTCCCCTCCCGTGCCGCCCCCCCCTCCCCCCCCCCCCCTGGCGGGGCGGCGACGGGTCCTCTCTCTCCTATTTCTTCCTGCCACAAGCCACAAGTGCCCCCCCAAGGGTTTCCACAACGGCTGAGGGAGCACATAGTCCCATAGCTTGGCAATCCTTCGGCACAACGTTTAGCCACATAGGCATGCCCAAAAAGAAGGGGGGCGGCGGTGGCTCGCCGCTGGCGTCGAAGACAATGTTTACACGGCCAGGGGCTGCCAGCATCGTGCGCCCATCATGAGCTGGCTTGCCTTAAAAAACCTACCTAGGCTTTGCTCGCTCTGCTGACGTGCCGCTTTGCCGACGAAGACGCAACAACAGTCAGCCAAGCGATGCAAGATCAAGCGCTGCGTGACTCGGAAACTTCTGCATAGAGCGACAAAAGCACCGACTAATTCCCCGCCGACCCCCGCTGGCCAGGGGTGAAAAGGCGTGTGAGACATTTGCCTGTCACCCATCCCAATTTCCCCCTCCCCAATGTTCCAAAATCCCGTGTAAGGGGGGGGGGCAGGGGGAGAGGAGTGGGTATGAGCTCGTCCATACACCCCAGAGGCTCTAGAGCCTCTAGAGAGCCCCATTATGCCCCAAGAGGGCACAACCAGAGCGCCGAGGCAGTCCAAGAGAGCGTCGAGACGATCCAGGGTAACCTCGCGATGGTCCAAGATGGCTTCAAGACAGCCCACGAGGCCCCCAGGATGGCCCAAGAGTGCTCCCAGAGGACTGCCTTCAGGGCCGAAGACGCAAAAATCGTCCCACCCCCTCAGAGAAAACAAGCGTTTACAACATACCCACCTGTTTCGTCGTGACAGCATCCACTACGGCCCAAGGGGCCCCCAAGATCGCCCCAAGACGGCCCATGAAGCCCCGAAAATGGCCGAAGACAGCCCCAAGACGGCCGAAAAGGGCCCCAAGATGGCCCCAGGGGCCCCTGAGACGGCCCACGGGGGCCCCGAGAAAGGCCCACGAGGAGCAAGACGAACTGACAGCTCAGAGACTCTCCCCCGTCATATGGCCTCGGATGCCTCCCAGAGACCCCCGAGGCGCCCCGAAGAGGCCGCCAAGAGGCCCGCAAGAGGCCCATCAGAGGCCCCCAAGGGGCTCCGAAAAGGTCCCTTTGAGGCCCCGACGAGCAAAATATATCGGAGACCCCTGAGGGACATTCCAAGAAACTCTGATATCTATCCTAGGGGCTTTTCCACAAAGCTCCCAGCCAGCCCAACAAGCCAACCGTGAGCCGACAGAAGGCTACCCAAAGCCTCCACTGGAAGCCTCCCAGAAGCCCTCAAGCAGCCCCGTGACAAACCCCGACAGCCCCCCTTGCACCCCTAAATTCATTCCTTCCTCCCTCAACCCTACTTCCTACCTCCAGTTTTTCTCCTCTTACTATTCCTCCCCCTCCTTTTCCTCTTTCTCCTCCGCCATCGCGGGCGTGAAAAAAACACCCAGCCATTCCAGCTCCAACATAGCCTACCAAACGCTCTGGACGTCTCTATTCGGCTAGGGGTCGGAGGAATGGCGCAAGCTACTTTAACCTAAACGCTACAGTGAAACTAACCTGACCGAGCTGTCGCAGAACTCGCGTAGCTTTCCACATCCAAAGAACGCTAGCCATGTCCCAGCGCCCACCTACCCCACGCTCCACTTCACCCAGGTATCCCCGAAAGCCTACCTCCAGACAGTCGGGCCAAGAATTCAAGCCCTTTGGGAAGAAAGATCGAAAGGTGTACGTGGAGCCGGAGCGAGACTCGGAAAGCACCACAGCCTCACCTGTCGGGAGCCGCGAACTTCAGTATTTCATCGCGGCGTCGCCCCTGGCTGCAGTGGTGGCCATGATACGTACTACGCGGTATACGTATGGCCACCTCAAGCAGTAGAGGACACCCAAGGACGAACTGGTGCCCAGACCACACCCAACGGGTGGTACTACACAGTCGGGGCACTTCACAGTACCCGCGGGGGCCGCAGAGGCTGCAATAAGGCCAGACAACACACCCCTAGAGGGTGGTACACACACGGTCGAAGCGCCTCGAAGCATTGGGAGCCGCAGAGGCCGCAGCTCTAGCCAGAAAAACGCTCCTCGCGGGAGGCACTACACGGTCGGGACATTCAAAAATATTGGGGGCGACGGGAGGAAGAGGGGGAGGAGTGGATGGGGCGGTAGTTTCGACAAAGAAGGGATATCCACTCGACTCCACACCTCCCCGCTGCGCACCCCTGATGACCCGACCCCTTCACTACATCATGATGGCTTTCCCAAACAGGTCCGTGTCCAGCAACTTCGCCTTTCTCGGGAAACGGCTGAATCAGACAATACATGTGGGATGAGTGCCGGTACACTGCACGGCTCAGAACGTCGATGCTCTTGTGCTGGGATCACTCTACTTCCCCTGGTACACACAAGCAGCGCGATGTGGCTACTTCGATGTTGTCGAAGTTACATCGGACGTAGCCTCGACAAACTCCCATCCAGAATCATATTTAGAACATTCCCTACAAAACATCGGCACCTCAAGCCCGCACACATTCAGCAACCACACGGAATACGTAACACTATCTCGGCAATCTGGAGCGCAACATGACTTCCGGCACAGCGTACTACTCGCCTGCTGAAAGCATGGCTTGCATAAGGCCCCCAATCCTGATGACTTAGCTGCATTGTATTCGTCACGCGAAATCAGAATGCTGGTTCCACATGGTCCGTCGCACATAAGCGAGACTTTCCGAAGCGCCGATGAAGGTCTCGACGCACATCTCGGCGGAACTTTCATGGTATTCCCCCCGTCTGAGCAGCCCTCGTCAGACGTGCAGTCGTTGAAGAGACACTCCACAATTCCAGCCAGCCCCGGCACCTGCATCGGCGAAGGGTCTAGCTTCAAGTCCTGACAGAGCTCATTGCAGACGTGCGACAAAAAGAAATCATCGATACCTTGCTTGCCGAGATTTCCTTGGCCGAATCGATCGTCAAGTGGATCGCTGGTGTGAATCTGTGGATCAGTGAAGACGGCATCTCCAACACCTTGGATGTCAGTGACCATCAGTCGTCCCCCGGAATGCTGCCAAGTGAAATGGGAAAACGCCTGCGCCACATCGGAATCATTGGCAGCGTACCCCGCATTGCTCGTGTACTTCGCATACTCGCCCGAAATTCGCTGGCCCAACGGACCAGAGGCGTGCTAAGATCTCCGGAAACAGGTTAGCTGTCTTTCTCGTTCGCGCGCTCGAGGGTAGGCCCAGAAAGTCCGCAGACGACAAGTCCCACCAGCCCTTTGGGCGTGAGTGGTTTAGCGAGCTCTCTCTGTTCTCAACCCCTCAACCCCCCTTCTTCCCCTTCGGGGAGGGGTTTACCCCTCCCCCTACCCCCTCCCCCTGGGCCTGGAGAGGGAGTCCGGCGGGTGGCCAGAGGGGCCGTTTTCGACTCCTTGGAGGGCTAAAAAACGACACCCCTCACGAGGATTCTGGCCCCGACGGGGGGGGGAAGAAAAAACCCTCTCCTCTTCTGTGAAGCCAAAAACATTGATTTTACGACGGTTTTGGCCCCATTTTGACCTCCTGAGGGGGCCGCGCTCATCTTCCCTCATAGCAAAATCATTGATTTTACGAAGGTTTTGGGCTCATGTTCTCCTTCTCAGGGGGCAGCGCTCATTTGCGCTTCTGAGGAGGTCGCAAGAGGCCCCAAGATGGCCCCAAGAGGCCCCCAGGAGGCTCCCAAGAGGCCTCCAAGAGGCCCCCAAGAGGCCCCCATGAGGCCCCAAGAGGCCCCCAAGAGGCCCCCAAGAGGCCCCCAAGAGGCCCCCAAGAGGCCCCACGAGGCCCCAAGAGGCCCCCAAGAGGCCCCCAAGAGGCCCCCAAGAGGCCCCCAAGAGGCCCCACGAGGCTCCAAGAGGCCCCCAAGAGGCCCCACGAGGAGCCCGAACGACTCACACCAGGACGAGGGGCCCGAACGACTCACACCACGAAGAGCCCGAACGACTCACACCACAAGGAGGGGCCCGAACGACTCACACCAGGACGAGGCGCCCGAACGACTCACACCACGAGGAGCCCGAACGACTCACACCACGACGCGGGCCCCGAACGACTCACACCACGAGGAGCCCGAACGAGTCACACCAGGAGGAGGGGCCCGAACGACTCACACCAGGATGAGGGGCCCGAACAACTCACACCACGAGAAGCCCGAACGACTCACACCAGGACGAAGAGCCCGAACGACTCACACCACGAAGAGCCCGAACGACTCACACCAGGAAGAAGGGCCCGAACGACTCACACCAGGACGAGAAACCCCAAACGACTCAAATCACGAGGAGCGCTTTCTCTCCCTCCTCCTCCGCCTCGTCCTTCTCCCGCTCCCCCCACAAGGAGGATGTACAAGGAGGCGGGAGGAAGGAGGAACAGGGGAGATATGCGGGGCCAAGCGGACACACGCCTGAAAAACACGACTGTCGGCATGCTTCGCAAGAGTTGATGCTGTGAGATGGGCTGGTGGGGATACGCGAAGCGTAAAGGATTCCCCCGACCACTGCGCCCACAACCTCGACTCAGAGATGGTTTTTCCTTTGTGCGTCTCCTTCGGGGCTCCCAAGAGCGCTCCAGGAGCGCTCCACGGAGCCTCCAAGAGAGTTCCAAAGACACCCAAGAAAATCTCTGGATAGCACGAGACCCCTCCGAAACGCCTCAAGAGAGCCGAGAGGCAAAAAGCATCAACTGTCCTAGAAAAGGTTTTCAACGATTTTCGCGTCATCGCCTCTTGAAACTTCCGACCCCCAAGACGGCCCAGGAGGTCCAAAGTACCACCCCAAGACAGCCCAAGCGGCTCCCAGGAGGCCCCAAGATGGCCCAAGAGGGCCCCAATACGGCCCAAGAGGCCCCCCAATGAGGCCCCAGAGGCCCCCACGAGGGAAATCCGAACTGCCATTTGGAGTCCTATCCTCCGCAGATGGCCCCCGAGACCGCCTGCAAGCCCCAAAGAGGCCCCCAAGAGGCCCCGAGAGGCCCCCAAGACACCCCCGAGAGGCCCCAAGAGGCCAAAAGGCTGCCCCGAGGCCCTCCAAGGACCTCCTAAGAGACCCCAATAAGCCTCCAAACAAGACTTGTCCACGATCCGATCTGACCGAAGACAACTCAACACTACATACAGCATGGGCCGGTCGAAGGAATTAGCAAAGATATTGAATTCGGCGGGCCCCTGCGGGCCCTGGCCGTGTTGTAGGAGCGGAGGGTAGATGATGAGATGGAGGAGGATGGAGGCGAGTGAAAAGCATATATAAGGCATGCTAAGAGGCGCTTCGCCCACTCCGCCGGCCGATGACATTCCGAAGTGGATTCAGTCTCCTAGGCGCATAGAAATCCGCCGACCCAGTCGGCGTGTGTGAGAGGCTCTTCGACGCGAGGACAGCCCAACCCAAACTGAAGTACGCCAGCCTCCCTTGAATCATCGTGTCGTCGTAAGGGAGATCGAACAAAGAAGGGGGATCGGACAATGTCGCTATTACGTCAAACGGAAGCCCCTTCCCTGTGTCCGTTCCCCGCTAGGGAGGGGATCACGAGGAGGGGACCGAGGGGGGGGGTCGTGGGAAGGGGTCCGGGGACCCACGGGGGGGTCCCAGGTGTTGTGACCCCCACCCTGGGCGGTCCCCCCTGTGGAGAAAGAGGAAAGGGGGGGTCTCCCAGCTCGGAAATCGGAGCCTTTAATGCTACTTGCACCTGAGATATCAGTACCTTAAGTATCTTAGCTCCTTAGCTCAACGGCTTAGGGCTACACAGATGCTACTTACTAACTGATTTAGGTTTCCGGCGTAAGTTACTTGAACGACCCCTCTAGGTTGGTTCTGAGTATACATAAGTATTTAGCTTCAAGGTGGGTGAGGGAGGAGGCGAGTTGAGGATTCCGCGCCGCGCGTTCACTCCTTCACCTCCTTGGCCATTTTCTTAGCTTTCTCCTCCTTCTCCGTGTGTGGCTGGGTGGGGGCTGGATGGTCTGGTGTTCGTGTTGTGGCGCTTTCGTTTCTGCCCGCTCCCGTTTCCTCGGGGCCGAGTGCTTCGGGAGCCCTCGCAATCGTGATGAGGTGAAGAGGATGAGGCAGCTCAGGAGCGGAGTGGACCCAGGCTCGGGAGCAAGCTTTGGGCGCTCAACTCCGCTGAGGTGGAACATCCAGGCGGGGTAGACCTCTGCCCCCCCCCTGAGCTCACAGCTGTTTTGTCCTTGTCTTTCGCACTGCTTTTCTCGGGTGCCTTATCGCTCGGAGGTAACGGACAACACCGGAGCCACTAGAAGGCCACTAGTAGCCACTAGGGGGAGGGAGGAGGAGGAGGAGGAGGAGGGAAAGGAGGAGGAAGTGAATTTGGAAAAAAAGGTGGAGAAGGAGGCGCCCTCGCCCTCGCCCTCGCTCCCCCTCATCTCCCTTCTCTCTGTCTCCCGCTCCTCCTCCTCCTCCTCCTTCTCCTCCTCCTCGTCTTATCTTCTTATTGTTCGTCTCATTCGTATTCTTATTATTGGTATTAACAATGTTATTAGTAGTCGTATGATTAATCATAATACTACTAGTCTTCTTCGTATTACGAATATGCTTACCCTTCCTATCTTACGGTTATGAAATTGTATGATGCTTAATAATATGATTCTTACTTTTCGTAATAAAATTATTCGTCTTCTTGGTATAATTATATAACTGTCCAACAATTCATTCATTATTCTTATTCGTCTTACGAATAAGCTTCTCTTTATTATCCGTTGAATCGAACTAGGGGGTCAGGTCTGCAGAACGCCCCAAACGGACGTCGAGAGGCACAACCAACCTGTTCGGGAAAGCTGATATTGGCGCACCACACCCGGCGTCAAGTCAAAACCTTGGACATAAGCGAATGATTAAATGTTGCACATGTTCGTCGGCTCACCCGGCGAGGCGTTGGACCACCTTAACGTCCCTTTGTTTTTAGTCCTGCAGAGGAAGACGCTCTTCGACCCTCCACCCTACTCAAATTGTCCGTCATCTTCGTTATCGTCTTCATCGTCGTCTTCGTTTTCTTCTTCGTAGTAGGAGTAATAATTTTCTTCGTAGTGTTACTCTTCTTCATAGTATTACGTAGTACCCCGCAGTTGCGGATAAGAGTGGGGGGGCGGCGGGGACGTCTGCAGTCTGCGAGGCTCTGAAGAAGCCCGCCGCAGGCGCAAAATTTTCAAGCTACACAACGAGCCCACCGCAGGCGCCGACTTTTTTGTTAAAACAATGTAGGCAGGTCGCGGGCAGGATCGCACATGGGTCGCGGGTGGGTCGACGGTGTGTTGCGGGTGGGTCGCGGGTCAGGTCGCGGGTGGGTCGCGGGTGGGTCGCGGGTGGGTGTGGGTCGCGGGTGGGTCGCGGGTGGGTCACAGGTGGGTCGCGGGTGGGTCGCGAGCCGGTCGCGGAGTGGCTCGCGGGTGGGTCGCACGGTGGGTCGCGGGTGGGTCGCGGGCCGGGTCGCGGGGGGGACGACGACAAAAACAAACAAACAAACAAACAAACAAACAACAACAACAACAGCAGCAGCAACAACAACAACAACAATAATCTTAAGACTGTTCGCCCTTATATGCTCGAGTGTCCAATAACGCGTATTTCCCAAACCCTCGATACCCGCCCTCTTCGTCTTCGATCGAACCCCTTTTGGGGGGTATACCTTTCTTCCCTGCAGGCCGGGCCCCGGCAAGCGGCGGGGCGGCCGCGGACCGTCGGCCTGGCCAGCGGCAGCGCTGATCGGCGGGGCGGCCGCGGACCGTCGACCCGACCCCAAGAGGGACGGACAGGGGACCGACCACGACGACGACGACGACGACGACGACGACGACGACGACGACGTCGAAGACGACGGCGACGACGACGACGACGGCGACGACGAGCGAAAGCGAGAGCGAGAGAGAACGACAGCAGGGCCACGAAGGGCACGAAGTAGGCCACGAAGGGCGACAGCGGGGACACGAAGGGAATGCGTATGGGGCCACGAAGAGCGCGAACGAGCGGGGGCCACGAAGTGCAGATAATGCGGGGCCACAGAAGGCAACTATGGGGCCACTGAGGGTAGCAACTGGGCCACGTAGGACAGTGAGGGGGACACAAATGGCGACAGGGGGGCCACGAAGGGCATGCACATGGGGCCACAACGGGCGCGA